TTGTTCTTTGCCAATGCCTTCAGTGCACTATGGGCTTCTTCCTTCAGTATCATTGGCTCTTGGTCATATGCTGTCTCTTGAAATAGTTGAGCATTGATCATTTCTTTTTGGTATTGTAACTCTGTGTATTCCTTCCATCTTCTTTTGATGCTTTCTGTATCATTCATTATCCTGTCCAAAGAATCCTTCAGTATTTCAAGTCAAGGCTTGAATTTTTTTCATCAGTTATTTCACTTGAGAAATGCTGAGTTTATTCTTCCCTTTGGGTTTTCTAACTCTACTTCAGTGCACATTTTTTTATATTTAACTTTGTCTTCTCGAGCTGCCCTTTGAAATTTTCTGTTCAGCTCTTTTACCTCCTCATTTCTTCCATTTGCTTAAACATCTCTACTCTGGATAGCAAGTTTCAGAGTCTCTTCTGACATCCATTTTAGTCTTTTCTCTCTTCCTTGTCTTCTTAATGATCTTTCACCTTCTTCTTGTGTGATGATCTAGATGTCATCATACAACTTTCTGGGTTTTGGTCATTAGCATCTAACGCATCAAATCTGTTCTTGAGATGATCTTCAAATTCGGATGGAATAGTTTAAGGTACTGTTTTTGGCTCTAGTGGACTTGTTTTAATTTTCTTCAGCTTTGGCCTGAACTTGCAAATGAGTAATTGATGGTCTTTTCCACAGTCTGCCCCTGGCCTTGTTTTGACAGATGATATGAAGCTCTTCCACCATCTCTTTCCGCAAGTGTAGTTAATTCGCTTTCTGTGTGTTCCATGTGGTGAAGTCCATGTGTATCTTTTATGTTGTTTAAAAAAGGTATTTGCAATGAAGAAGTCATTGGTCTTGAAAAATTATAGCATACAATATGAAACATGACTTCCAACAGCAAGGCCATGTTTTCCAACTATTGGTCCTTCTTCTTTGTATCCAACCTTGGTATTCCAATCACCAGTAATTATCAATACATCTTGATTGCATATTTGATAAATAACCAATGCATCTTGATTGTATGTTTGATAAATTTCAGACTGATGAAGTTGGTAGAATTCTTCAATTTCATCATCACTGGATTTAATGATTGGTGTGGAAATTTGAATACTGGTGGTACTAACTGTTCTTTCTTGTAGGCACATGGATATTATCCTATCATAGATAGCATTATACTTCAATACAGATCTTGAAAAGTTCTTTTTGATGATAAATGAACACCATTCCTCTTCAGTTTGCCATTTCCAGCATAACAAACCATGTGATTGTCAGATTCAATGTGGCCAATATCAGTCCATTTCAGCTCACTGATACCTAGGATATCGATGTTTATGAGTTCCATTTCATTTTTGACACCTTTCAATTTTCTTAGATTCATACTTCACACATTCCATGTTCCAGTTATTAATGGATGTTTATAGCTGTTCCTCCTCATTTCTCTTACATTTGCTAGAATGTAAGTTTTATGAAAACAGTGACTCAATGTCTATGCTGTTCACAGAGCAAATCCTAATACCCACTCACTACCATCAAGTTGATTTTCAGATCAAAGCAGCACTGCATAGAGTTTCCAAGGCAGTAAATTTTTACGGGAGCAGAAAGCTTCATCTTTCTACCAAGAAGCAGCTGGTGAGTTTGAACTGATGACTTTGTTGATAACAATACTCTGCTTATTGTCCAGTGTCACCAGGACACCTAACACATAATCCCTAAAAATCACATCCACTAAAATTGGGTATATCCCCACTCATTGTGACCCTATATAGAATTTCTGATACTATAAGTCTTTACCAAAGCAAACAACCTCACTTTTCTCCTCAGGAATTACTGGCAGATTTAAAGTGCCGAATTTTTGGTTAACATCCCAGCACCTAACCCACAGTGCCACCAGTAATCCTTAACATTTAGTAGAACCTATCTGTAATATTTGGGGAATAAAGTAGATTTATGCATCCATGTTTTATTTGTGTACGACATTAAAAATTATAAAATGAAAAAATCAGGGTGAAAAGAGTTTTCAAATATTGTATTATTTGGTTCTTTTGAGCATTAGAGAAATGGGCACTGGTGGTGCTGAGGGTTCAACATTGAGCTGCTGATCGGAAGGTTGGTGGTTCAAGCCAACCAGCTGCTCCATGGGAGGAAAATGAGACTGTCTGTTCCCTTAAAGATTTACAGCTTTGTTAAACCAAAGGAACAG